TTCACTCTACCACTTTAGCCAGGTCTCCACTTGCAGCTGTTTGGCCAACGCCATTTTTTTTTTTGAAGAAGCTTCTCCACCATGAATTATTAGTACCTTTGTGAAAAACTAGCTATCTGTTAATATGTAGATTTATTTCTGGTACATACAAGTACCATGCTGTTTTTTGACACCCATAGCTTTGTGGAATATATGAAGTTAGGTAGTTATTAACTGTTCTTTTCACTCTAGTTTGCTTTGGCAATTCATAATCTTTTGTGATTAGATAGATAGATAGATAGATAGACAGACAGACAGACCTTGCTGTGTTTCTCAGGCTGACTTTAGATTTCTGGAATCAAGCAATGTTCCTTCCTCAGCCTCTCAGGTAGCTGGAACTACAAGGATACCTCTATGCCTGGCTTTTCCATACAAATTTTGGGTTTTTTCTAATTCTACAAATATATAATTGATATTTTGATACATGTTCATTGAATCTGTGGATTGCTTTGGATCGTATAGACATTTTAACAATTCCTGTAACCCCGGCATCCTTACAATTTACTTATCCCCAGTCTCTTTCATCAGTGTTTTAGACTTTACATTGTAGATATATTACAACTTGGTTAAATGTATTCCTAAGTATTCCTGTATTCCAGCTTTTCAATAAGACTGTTTTCTTGGTTTGATTTCTTTTCCAGCTAATTCACCATTAGTATATAAAAATACTACTAATTTTTGTATGTTGATTTTATATCTGATAACTGTGATGAATTTGTTTATTCTAATAATTTTTGGCAGAGTATTCAGGGTTTTATCTATATATAAGATTGTGTCATCTGTAGACAAGAATGGATTCCAACTTTCCTGTCTCTTACTTATTTACTTTGACTAAATACTTTAGCTAGAATTTCTACTGTCCATGACCAGATGATGATTATTTCAAGGTCAGCACATCTCCTAAGCCCAAAGGGTCAGGAGATTCTGTCTGAAAAGTCACAGATTTGCAATATCAAGATTCTGTTCATTGACATCTTCAATTCAACCCACACTTTGAAGCTGCAACTCTTTTCTGTATGAAGAAGCTTTCTGCAGCTGTCTGTAACTCTGTAGCAAGGCGTGACTGCCAGCACTGCTTCTTATCTTACTTATCTTTTTTTTAATTTTTTTTATTTTTGGGGGGAGGGTCCGATCGTGGGGCCTGAACTCTGGGCCTGGGCGCTGTCCCTCAGCTCTTCAGCTCACCACTAGCACTCTACCACTTGAGCCACAGTGCCACTTCTGGCTTTTTTTTTCTGCTTATGTGGTGCTGAGGAATCTAACCCAGGGCCTCATGCATGCAAGGCAAGCACTCTACCACTGAGCCACCTTCCCAGCCCCTATCTTACTTATCTTAATGCTTATTTATTCTTATCATAGAGATCTGATTATCTTGATGGGTGTCCCTGGCTTCTTTATTAATTTTCTTATAAAAAGGCCATTCACAGTAGGGGATAGTGGTAAGACTAAGAGCAATAACATCAAAATAAACAATAAATGGTCATCAGGATGGGTGCGTGCAAAGTATAAATAGCATTGAGATCAATTTCCCATATAGAGATCACATTTGCCAAAGCTTAAGATGTACATGAACCACTCACTCAGCAACTGGCAAAATGCCTACTAGCATGGTAGAGGAGGCTTACAGGAAATCAATTCTGTCTTGATTCTACAGTTTCTCTCTTGATGGAACCATGTTGTAGTATTCTTCAGTTATGAATTTATACACCTTGCATTGCCTTATTAATTACATCTTTGTTAAGATTCCTGGTAGAAGCATACATAAAACAGTGTAGTCGGTACTGCATTTGCTAAATGTATATGATAGTTAATAGGATACAAAAGTATATATCAAGCCGGGCGCTGGTGGCTCACGCCTGTAATCCTAGCTACTCAGGAGGCTGAGATCTGAGGATCGCGGTTCAAAGCCAGCCCGGGCAGGAGAGACCGTGAGACTCCTATCTCCAATAAACCACCAGAAAACCGGAAGTGGCGCTGTAGCTCAAGTGGTAGAGCACTCGCCTTGAGCTGAAGAGCTGAGGGACAGCGCCCAGGCCCAGAGTTCAAGCCCCACAGCCGACCAAAAAAAAAAAAAAAAGTATATATCAGATGCTGCTTTTTAGTGTGTGTGTGTATGTGTGTTACTGAGGATTGAACTCAGGACCTCAGTTTTGCAAGGTAGATGGATAAGTGCTCTACCACCTCTAGCCTCTTTTGGGTTGGTTATTTTTAAGATAGTGTTTCACTATGTACTTGTGTTTCCCAGTGTCACTGGTGATGGCAGGTGCATGGTCACTGCACCCAGCCATAGTGTGCATTGTCACAGCACTCAGCCAAGTGTGCATTGTCACAGTTCCCAGCCATTGTGTGTCCCTTATAGCTGAGATAACAGATGCATACACTGAGACAATTCATTTCTGAGACAGTGTCTTGAGAACTTCAAGGCCCAGGCTGGCCTTGAACTGTGATCCCCTAACCTTTGCCTCCCAAGGAGCTAGGATTATAGGCTTGAGTTACTGGGTCCAGCTTAAGCCTCTTTTTAATAATTGTGCTAGGGTAGAACAAATAAGGACCCTTGGCTTGTCTTTGATTAGTTGGTTAGTTTGGTTGGTTGTTTTACATGATACCTAACTCTGAAAGTAATTTGAGATAACAATGACACATCCGACTGTATTGTCACCCTTTATACATGGTAGTTGTATATTAGGGGGACATTAAATATAACATATTCGGTAACATACAAGCTTCTACCATATACTACATTAGAGACACAGGGTTAAAATTAGACACAGGGCTACAAAGGGAAATACAGCCCTGAAGATCTGAAGCTGCCTGCTGTCTTAACAATTAACTATAATTAAAGAGAAACAGTATTAATTGCCTTGTGGAAGTATGATGAAAGTCCAGCAGATAGGACTTTTGTTTGTTTTCTTAACCAGATCCCTGACAGGAAATATTTTAATGTAGAATCTTATTTACTTCAAAAATATTAACAATTAAAACTCAGTTACATGTCTAAAACAATTTCCCTAACTGGAAACAGTGCAGTGGCATGAGATCAGTTCTCCATAGAGAGTCTAGGCTATATCCTCACTCTGGCCACAGGAACTGAGAGGACAGTGCCACGTATTCTAACAAAGTAAGAGGGCTGCCAGAAAGAGTAATGACCAATTTGGATCTTGAACAATGAATACAGGTCCTTGAAAATGCTTGGTTTAAGGGGGAGGCAACAAGTCTTGATAAGAAATGTACTCATTACCTTGCCCATGTAATTGTAACCCCTCTGTACGGTATTTTCACAATAAAAATTTTTTTAAAAAAAGAAAAGGCTTGGTTCTGAGTACTGAGGTAAGTTTAATACATTGCAGAAGTCAGATGTATGACCTACTACTTCATCTTCCTCTGCAGTCATTCCCCCTGCAATAATTTTTGATGACTGCTACTGTAGCTTGCAGCAAGGTCTTTCTTTCCGCTTCCATTGGATTTGTATGCATGATTTGTAGACCCAGCCTCCCCTTCTCATAGGATTAGCAGCACTTACAAGAACCTAGAATGTTCCGTGCTTAATGGTGCTTTGCTGTCACCCAGGCTATTCAGAAGGGAAAAGTAGAAGGATCACACACAGTCTCAGGCTAGTCCAGGAAAAGTTAGCATGATACTTCACGAAAAGCAAGAGGACTCAAGTGGTAGAGTGTCAGGCCAAAGCTCTAAATTTGATTCTCGATATCACCATAAAGAACCTAGAGGGCTGGGAGGTGGCTCAGTGGTAGAGCGCTTGCCTTGCATGCATGAGGCCCTGGGTTCAATTCCTCAGCACCACATAAGCAAAAAGAAAAAAGCCGGAAGTGGTGCTGTGGCTCAAGTGGTAGAGCGCTAGCCTTGAGCTGAAGAGCTGAGGGACAGCGCCCAGGCCCAGAGTTCAGACCCCATGACCGGACCCAAAAAAAAAAAAAAAAACTAGAGAAAGTGCAGTGTTACATACAGAGTAAGGAGGAAGCCAACTCTGAATACCAAGAAGTTCAGTCCACTTCCATCTAAAAAAGAAACAAGTAACCTCAGATAACATGCTGTCATTGCATGTGGGTACATGTGCATAAGTGCCACAATCTATATAGAATATAATAGATGAGCATCAAATGACAGTACTCTCAGACGCTGAAGACTTCCTAAGAAAGAAGACAACCACATGGCAAAGCTGCTGCTAACAACGAGGGAAGGAACACCCAAGTCCTGTGCCACTCAGCAGCTTCAACCACTGAAATGACAGCCAGTAGGCTTAGCTCTGTAACCCCATTCTTTATGGGCCAGGAGTTAATTTCTTGTTGAGAACATTGCCTTTAATTGTTCTCATCTTTTATCATTATCAGGTCAGGTATGACAGGATGATTGAAGTCTTAAGTAGAAAGCATAATGGATGAGCAAAATAGAAATTGTTTTCAATGTTTCTCTTAACACTAAAACTGGCAAAAAAAAAAAAAAAATTTCCTTTCAAAACTGGTTTTGGAAATCCCACAGACTGAGTTTGTCTAGCAGGGCCACACCACCAAGTTTTGTGGCTGGCAAGAAAAACGATCGTGCTTTCTTGGCCTTGAGTGAACTCAAGTCTCACAGTTACTCCCTCCTGTGGAGTCAACCCCCAGCAGGACCGTCAGGGAGGGAAGTTAATAGGAGTCCTATTGTTCTGTGTATTTTTGCCAGGATATTTCATTAGTGTACACACTGAACCCGTTGTCATCGTGTTTAGCCACTTGACCCTGGTGATTTTCAATTCTCGTGATGAAGTACAGAAGTGCCATGCATGCCCGAGACAGGCACTAATTATTGGAAGCAGAATCATTGCTGACCCAGTACGAGATTAACTGCTCCCTTGCAGTCTTTATTCTGGGACATTAGCACTGTCTGGTTATCTTGCTTCAGTTGAGGGATTCAGGACAATAGCAGTGCTGATGGTAATGTTGGCAATTTCCCTGTTTGTTTTACAGGTCACAGCCAGGGGCTTTGGGCCGCTGTTACAGTTTGCCTACACTGCCAAGCTGTTACTCAGCAGAGAAAACATCCGCGAGGTCATCCGCTGTGCGGAGTTCCTGCGCATGCACAACCTGGAGGATTCCTGCTTCAGCTTCCTGCAGACCCAGCTCCTGAATAGTGACGATGGCCTCTTTGTGTGTCGAAAGGACACTGCGTGCCAGCGCCCCCATGAGGACCACGAGAACTCTGCAGGAGAAGAGGAGGAAGAAGAGGAAGAGACCATGGATTCAGAGACAGCCAAGGTGGCTTGCCCCAGGGACCAGATGCTCTCACACCCCATCAGCTTTGAGGCCACTGCCATCCCAGTAGCAGAGAAGGAAGAAACTTTGCTCCCTGAATCGGACGTGCCCACAGACACCAAGGAAAACTCGGAAAAGGATGCGTTGACACAGTACCCCAGATACAAGAAATACCAGCTTGCATGTACCAAGAATGTCTATAATGCAGCATCACACAGTACCTCAGGTTTTGCAAGCACATTCAGTGAAGATAGCCCTGGCAACAGCCTCAAGCCAGGGCTTGCCGTGGGGCAGATTAAAAGTGAGCCACCCAGTGAAGAGAACGAGGAAGAGAGCATCACTCTCTGCCTATCTGGAGATGAGCCTGACATCAAGGACAGAGCTGGGGATGTGGAGATGGATCGCAAGCAGCCCAGCCCTGCCCCGACCCCGACCACCCCCACTGGAGCCACCTGCCTGGATAGGGGCAGGAGCGTGTCCTCACCTTCCTGCTTAAGGTCTCTGTTCAGTATAACAAAAGGTGTAGAGTTGTCTGGCCTGCCCAGCACATCTCAGCAGCACTTTGCCAGGAGTTCAGCATGCCCTTTTGACAAGGGGATCACTCAGGGTGACCTTAAATCTGACTACACCCCTTTCACAGGGAATTATGGACAGCCCCCCGTGGGCCAGAAGGATGTGTCCAACTTCACGATGGGGTCTCCCCTCAGGGGACCTGGGATGGAGGCGCTCTGCAAACAAGAGGGAGAGCTAGATCGGAAGAGTGTGATCTTTTCCTCAAGCACTTGTGACCAAGGGAGCACCTCTGTGCATTCCTATTCTGGGGCAAGCAATTTGGACAAAGACCTCTCTGAGCCGGTGCCAAAAGGTCTATGGGTGGGAGCTGGTCAATCCCTCCCCAGCTCACAGGCCTACTCTCACAGCGGACTGATGGCTGACCACTTGCCAGGCAGAATGCGGCCTAACACCAGCTGCCCCGTGCCAATCAAAGTCTGCCCTCGCTCACCTCCCCTGGAGACCAGGACCAGGACTTCCAGCTCCTGCTCCTCCTATTCCTACGCAGAGGATGGGAGCGGGGGCTCGCCCTGTAGCCTCCCTCTCTGTGAGTTCTCCTCCTCACCCTGTTCCCAGGGAGCCAGATTCCTTGCCACAGAACATCAGGACCCAAGCCTGATAGGAGATGGAATGTACAACCAAGTCCGACCCCAGATTAAATGTGAGCAGTCTTATGGAACCAACTCCAGTGACGAATCTGGATCGTTCTCGGAAGCAGACAGTGAGTCGTGTCCCGTGCAGGACAGGGGCCAGGAGGTAGGGAACCCACACAAGTTCAAGCATGTGACCTACTGTCTCTGGTCCTTTGTCTGGATTTTTCTTTTTTCCCTGCTCCCCATCATTACTTCCAGATTCTTCTTGTTTGCCAAAATTAACGGTGACAGTAAAAGGATTGCTTCCCCCATCCATTAAGACAGATGTTGCAGGGCGACTCTAAATTAACCACTTTTGTCTTAACAGTTGATCTAGATTTCAGTGTTTGCTGAACATTGAAAAAGTCACTTGAATGCCTGACAGTTCACTCGGGTACTTCAAATCTTCCCCTGTCCTCTTTCCATCCTCTCATTCCTCCATCTGCTCTGAAAGGTTGGAGGATTGACCACCTCATCCTTGCTGTTCACCCCCTCCACATGAAGCAAATTGTAGACTTTCTTTTAAAATTGATTGATCGAAAGTAAATGGATAGATACAAAACAGATGCTTTCCCAGCACCTCGTAAGTTTTTCCTGCCAACAGAAGACCCTCGGGGTCATCCTGTGTCTATCGTGATGGAGGTGATGGAATGCTCTCACTGTCCTGGTCACAAGGTCCCTGCAGAAGTACCCCAGTCAGCACACAGAGCTGAGTAATGGCTCATTTCCCAGGCAAATGATAAGATGTCATTTTGTAGAATAGCAGTTTTCTCCTGCCTGAAAGCCAAGTGCTCTGTAGATAAAATATCTATAGGCTCCATCCATGTTGCTTCATTTCTAGGAGAGAAAGCAGGAGTGACACCAGCACCATCTTAAGCTGTGTAGTGAACTTAGGATGGGAGAGAACAATTGGAGCCCTGAGAAGTCTCCCTTCTCAAGTGGCATGAGCATTTCCTAAACAGACTCCAGAGCATCTGCGTCATAACCCAGAATTCACTGCACAAATAACCAGGTGGAGACTCACCTCAGGAGCAGGAGTGAGAAAACCCAGAGACAAGTCCTTCCCTTCTGTCAAAAAAAAAGAAAGAAAAAAGAAAATGAGGAAGAAAGGAAGAGTGGGCTGGGGGTGTGGCTCAGTGGTGGAGCACTTGCCTAGTGTGTGAAAGGTTCAGGGTTCCATCTCTAGCACCACCAAAATTAAAAAGAATAGAAGGAGGAACGGGAAGTAAGCATAATTCTTATTAGGCCAGTGTACTGGGTGCTCACAGGGATGGATATTAGCCTCTGTGAGGCAGAGGATGTTAATCCAGCCAGATAGCAGACATCCACATGCAGAGAGATGGCTTTCAGAGAGCCATGTGTGGTTTATTCAGCTTCTACAAGATTGGTGGACTAGAAACACATGAAGTTTTATTTCAGGCCTGTTTTGAAAATAGACCCCAGAGTTCACTTGAGCCAGCAGCAGTAGTACCTTGTGGTAACCTTCCTCTCTGCCAGCTTACCTGATTCTTGCTTTCCTGCTCTTTTCTGGTAGAACAGAGAAAGACCAGAATGCACTGAAAAGAGTTAAGCTTTAAGCAAACTTATAGCCAGGAATTGGTGACTCAAACCTGTAATCATCACTACTTAGGAGGCTGAGATCTGAGGACTGCTGTTTGAAGCTAGCCCAAGCAGCAAAGTCCATGAGACTTTGATTGTTAATTAACCACCAAAAACAAAAATCCCCAAGTAGTGGTGTGGCTCAAGTGGTAGAGCAGCAGCCTTTACCAAACAAGCTAAGAGACAGCACATAGGCCCTGAGTTCAAGCCCCCGTACAAACTTGGAGAGAGAGACAGAGACAGAGACAGAGACAGAGAGACAAAGAGACAGAGAGAGAAAGAGAGAACATTTAATAGAAGTTCAAATGGAACTTTTCCCTTTTGGTTATGCCTTATCTCCTTAGGTTTTGGAACCGGTCACAACTGTGTCCCTGGCCTGAGGGGATAGAGGTTGTGAAAATGAGAGAATGTTGTATGCTCACTCCTCACTTTTTCCTCCCTTCTGACCTCAAGAGAAGTTTCCTTTTATCCTTGGAGCTGTTACTAAGTGTCCTTCATGAAGAAAGCTTGTCACTAGACAAGCTTCATCTATATGACTGATCAAGAACAGTTGTAGGCAGAGGACAAATGCCTCCTCCCTTTGGTTTTTGTTTCTCCCCACCATTCAGCAAACAGGGGTGTCGTTTTATACATATACGTATCTTAAAGGAACTGTCCATTTCAGATACATTTCCTTTTCCCTTGTAACATCCCAAAGGAAAATTTAAAGTCATTTCTTGGAACTCGGTATCATCAGCAAACACACACGTGTTTGTCCTGTACATGGTCCAGGTCAATATCTACCTTAGAACTGAAAATTAGTAACTCGATTTAGAAGGAGGATTCATTCAACCTCTAAAATAGTCAGTAGTAAGAGTAGTCTCCCTTCGAAGAAAAATAGCCTGATTTTAATTTTCTTTTTTTACTTTCCAAAACAAAAAAAATGTTGTTTGGATTTGTCAGCAGTGAAGGAAGAGACATTTGCCAAAGGCTTTGCTATCACAAGAGTCCCACTTAACAACCTCCCCAGACCCACACCCAAAGTAGTTTGTTTGGGACAGGTGAATGATGGCAAAGCTAAGGTTTTCCCCCAATTATATATATTTTTTTTATTTTCCTAGAGTAGGGGAGGTTACGTTTCCCAGAACTGCTCAGGGTCTCAACACAACAGAACTTCTAGGAGGTAATAACGGTGGTACTGATAGAGGTGATGCCCCCAGAAGGAGAATAATTGCTGCAGATTCATCTAAACTGATCTAGAAGCCAACCTACTCTCATGTATAGGTACCTTTTCTTCTAAGTGAGCCCCAGGAGACATCACAATCAGACACCAGATCTAGAGCTCGGCCAGCCACCAGACTAATACTTCAGAGTTTCCTTCCCAGTCTCTCTTCCTCCACATTGATTAGGAGCCAGAGAGTTAGATCAAAAGAAAAGTGTTGATAAACCTTAGGTTCTGTTAGATGCTCTACTGACATAATGTGTTGAACTCTCCCATCTCAAACTCTTGACTTTTCCCACTCTTTTCATCCTCTTCTCTAGCTTAAACTTGGGGCTGGAGCACTGTCCCCTAACCTTGTTGCTCACATCTGATGCTGTGCTCCTTGAGCCAAAGTTCCATTTCCAGCTTTTTGGTGGTTAATCAGAGATATGAGCCTCACAGATTTTTCTGGCTAGACTGGCTTCACATCACAGTTTTAAGATGTCAACCTCCTGAGTAGCTAGGATTACAGACATGAGTCACCACCAGCGCCTGGTTTAAAATTAATTTTTTTGAGGATGCTGGGGATGGAATTCAGGTCCTCATACATGCTAAGCATGTGCTCTACCATTGAGTTACACTCAGTTTTCTTTGTTTTCTTTCAATAATAAGTATAACCCATCTAGCTTCAAACACAAATTTATGGTTTCCCTGCAGAAACCTTATGATATAATAATGATACAATAATGCAGAATCCTATGTAACAACATATACATACATATATACACCCATCTCTTATTTTAATACTGCTGTATAGTGTAATTCTCAGCACCTCCTTTTGTCCACAGATCTCGACACTCTGTACACACCTCTGGATCTGTCACATAGAACCCCTCCCCATGCTTCCTTATTATCTATGACCTCAGGAATTCGAATTTACTTATTACCCATGAGTGGAAATTCCAGGTTTTTTCCAGTTTCTTTCCTCTACAATAAATAGTGTTGTGAACATATTGTTAGTAGTGGAGCTTTTATTTTTATGAATTGAAATCTCATAGGTAGGTTAAAGGTTGTGACCATTTGTCGTACTTCCTAATTACCTTGCTAACCGGTTGTAGCAGTTCACAAACCCTTCAGCAATTAAGGAATGCCCATTTCTACCTATTCTTGCCATTTTCAGTGGTCATCAGTCTTTTGGATTTTGGATGGACAAAACAAAGCATAACAACCAATAAGGTGGACTTCCTGTCCTGTGTGTTTTTCCCCATTTTATTTCCTTTCTTGTGAATTGCTGATGTATACATCTGCCCATTATTCTTTTGTGCTCTTTAACTTTAAATCAGCTTATAGGAAATCATAATCTCTAACCTTAGGAATATTAACCCTTTCTTTTAACTGTATTTTCTCCTGTGTATTTATTTATTTATAGTATCTTCTTCCATATAAAAATTTTTAATTTGATGTAGTCATGGTATCAGTTTTTCTCTTTATGATTTAAGAAGTCAGCTTGGGGATTTTCCAAAACTGAAAAAAATGAAAAAGTTGGGGCTGGGAAGGTGGCTCAGTGGTAGAGCACTTGCTTTGCATGCATGAGGCCCTGGGTTCGATTCCTCAGCACCATATAAGCAAAAAGAAAAAAGCCAGAATTGGCGCTGTGGCTCAAGTGGTAGAGCGCTAGCCTTGAGCTGAAGAGCTGAGGGACAGTGCCCAGGCCCAGAGTTCAGGCCCGACAACCGGACCCAAAAAAAAAAATGAACAAGTTGTATTAAGCAAAAAAGTCATAACATGACATGAATAACAAGGTTCTAGTTTGTTTCATAAATACATAGAAACAATGAAATCATTATAAAGAATAAAATAAAATTAGAAGCAAAGTTGGGAGGGCATGTAGGGAATAAAGTATATATTTCTATATATGTCTGAATTATATATAGATGATGTACATACATATATATCACGTAGGTTCATTTTTTATTGAGACATAATTCTTGTACTATAAAATTCACCCTATTAAAATGAACAATTCTGTGGTGTTTAATATGTTCATACTATTACATACTGTCTCAATTATCTATTTCCAGGACATTTTTCATTGCCCCAAAAGGAACTGTACTGTATCAAGTAGCTGGCCCACATTACCTTCTTTTCTCAGCTCCAATCAACCACTAAATTTGCCTCTGTCTCAGTAGATTTGGAGACATTTCATATAAATAGAATTTTACAACATGAGGTCCTTTGTATCTCAAATTTTTCACTTAGAATAATATTTTCAAAATTCATCCCTGCCATTGATACATTATCATGTGTCAAAATGCCATTGCTTTTTCACTGTTGAATAATACTCC